AATTGACTGTTGATGGAGAAAGAAAGTCAGAGAGTCATGAGAGAGTAATTTATGATGAAAGTATGAGAGTCGTAATGGTGAAACGTATGGAAGGAAAGCATGAAAAGGGAGTCAAAGAGCCATTTTGGTGAAAGTATAAAACAAGAGTCTAAGAGTTGTGATGGAGAAAGTATGGGAACGAGTCGTAACGATAAAAAATATAAAACGAGAGACTTAGATTCAGGGAGTCGTGATGCTGAAAATATGGAAAAAAAGAGTCGAAAACCCACCAAAAAAAAACACGTGTTAACAGTCTCTTTTTTCTCGAAAAAATTGTAAGTCCAGAGGATAATGAAAGATCTCTAAGGAAATTCAAAGGCAACACGACCACCATCACTATCACTGCTACCACAACCACCATCATCACTATCACTGCTGCCACCCCCACCATCACTATTATCACTGTTGCCACCACCACCATCACTATCATCACTATTATCACTACCACCACCACCATCATCACAACTGCTACCATCACCATCACAATCATCAATATCCCTGCTACCCCCACCCCCCCCCCCCCATCACCATAATCACTATCACTACCACCACCATCATCCACTATCACTGCTACCACATCCACCAGTCATCATCACTATTACTGCTACCCCCACCACCACCATCACTATCACTGCTACCACCACCACCATCACCATCACTGCTGCCATCCCCACCATCACTATTATCACTGCTGCCACCACCATCACCACCACCATCATCGTCACTATCACTGCCGCCACTACCACCACCATAATCACTATCACTGCTGCCATCACCACCATCACTGCTACCACCACCATCATCGTCACTATCACTGCTGCCACCACCACCACCATAATCACTATCACTGCTGCCACCACAAGCAAATCACTGCTACCAACACCATCATCATAATCACAATCATAATCAAAATCACAGGCATCATCAGGGGCGGCGATTTCTTTTCATGACCGGGGGGGGGGGGGACGAAATGCGAGGAACGAGGGAGGAGTGACGTAATGAGCCAAAACGTTTTTTTGGGGGGAGGGGAGAAAAAAATCGGCATCATCATCGCTCTTGCATGTTATATGCAGGCCCTGCGGAACCGTTTTTGAAAGTTGGAGGGGGGGGGGGGGGGGGATAAAGTATTTGCGATCAGATAGAGGAAAGCAATTAAGTTGGGTGTAACTTTGGCGTGGGGTCCAGGGGCAAAGCCCCAGCGGGGGTCAAGGGTCGGAGCTCAGAGTTTTTAGGCAATTAGTAAGGGTCAGATGTGCATATTTTGATACCTTATTTGTGACACTTGCATGCAGGTCACTAATCATACTGGGGTCCAGGGGGCAAAGCCCCCAGAAGCTCAGCAGTTTTAGGCATTTAATTACAATCAGATGAGCATCCAGGGGTCGCCTTATAGGGCCCTTGGTGGGGTTTGGGGGCGGAGCCCCCGCAAGCTCAGGGTTTTAGGCTTTTGAATATGGTCAGATGACCATCCAGAGGCCCGCTTAGGGCCCTGGTGGGGTCCAGGAGGCGAAGCCCCCGGAAGCTCAGGTGTTTCAGGAATTTAATTATGGTCAGCTGAGTAACCAGGGACAAGCCTTAGGGCCCTTAGTGGGTACAGGGGGCAGAGCCCCCGGAAGCTTGGGGAAAATCATGCCATTTCAGTAACATTTGTAAATTAGTAACTGGTATCGAATTAGAAATAAACCACGTTTGAATTTTATCGGGGGGGGGGGGGGGGGGGGACTGCCCAAAGCACGAGAGAGTGAGCATAGTGAACGAGAGGGGTCAAGGTAAATTATATTCCTTAGCAAAACTATAATATGAAAACAAACAAAATACCTGTTTCACACTTCACTTTACTACAATATTAATTGTACATTTTGAAGGATATAATGCGAGGGAGCATAGCTCACGAGCCAGAAGATTTTTGCATTTTTATTTGTCTAAACTCTGCACTCTTGGGCCTTCCAAAGCCTAATAGTGTGTTGCAGTCTTTAGTCAGTATTTGCTGTACATTATTTTTGTGTACTTTTTCAAATTTTCCGGGGGGGACGTGTCCCCCCCATCCCCCCGGGATCGTCGCCCCTGGGCGTCATTAAATGAATATCATCATATTAAAATTATCACTATTAATATCACCATTCTCAGCCTGCTTTACCAAAAGCACAGACACCAATCCTAAGAACTATAAAAACCGTTTAATTTATAATGAGAATTTAAACACAAATATTAATCACATTGATGAAGTTGTATAAGGAAATATTCACTTTAATATTATACCAATGAAACTATCTTTTTTTTTATACAAACACAATACAAAACTTACAGGAACAAATTTTCTGCAATAACATTGCTTAAAAGATAAAGAAAACTAACTACCAATCTGTACTAGGATTTAATCTCTCATTTTCCATCTTGATTATAATCATTTCATATAATTTCACAAATGTAACAAGGATGATATATGTTTAAAAATGTACATTAAAACAAGAAAATAAACAACCGAATAAAACATCCAATCTCAATCTTTCTTCATTTCTTTCATTCCTTGCTTTTCATTCTGTGTACCGTAGAGCATGTCAACATTAGGTGATATATCTGGTGTAGGTACAAAGGTTGTAATTGGTCTTTATAGACAGGTCAAAATTTAGTGTTTGGATTCACTTCTCTGAAGCAGGTATGACTGGCGATGGTGATCCAGAATGAATCTGTCAGTGCCTGGCTGTATATAATACATATGCACTAAAAATCCGACATTTATTCTTGATTAAAAAACAATCATAAATAATAAAATGTGCATAATTTTCATTTCCTGGATTCAAGACAAAAACTGGTGAATCCATTGTGCAAACATGGATAATCTTTAAAAGAAAACATGAATGTCTGTGTCTCTGATTTGCACAAGCTTCATTTAAGACATGATTAATCTCTCTATAATAAATTTCTACATGATACTAATAATAATATTTCACAAATCATTGAATGTCAAAATGGTCATATTGCGCATTATGACCATGTAACCAAAGAAAGATTGCTTCATTCTGGGTAAAACTTATTCCCAAAATGCTCAACATAATAATTACTTGACTTTCTACTCATCAGCTTGTAACTGGTATGATTTCATGACAAAATCAAACTTTTATACCATAGGTTTTAAAACAAGGTCAAATGAACAATTTTACACATAATGTGTGTTGAGATCTGGGGGTTTAATTTCTTAATCGGTTAATGGCTTTCTTCCACTCGGCAAACAATCAGTCATCTACATTCAAAAGGTCATCTCACAACTATTGAAGGAACAGCTGAAAGAAAAGAGGCTATAACCAAACTACTGATTTAACATAGCAGGACTCAATTTTTTGAACGACTTAAATTATTTGGCAATGGTCATGAAAATCATGAACCTTAAAAGCAATTTCATACCTAATTTTCCCATACCAAAATATTATCAAAGATGTTTGAATTTTTACACAGTCATTGGGTGACCAAATAAAGAAAGGATACTTTGCGTGCAATCCATCCTTGGCCAACAAACATTAATACATTTTTGTCAGAATCCATATTCGATAATACTGTGCTCAACAGAACAAAGGTGAAAATTATTTTTAAAAGGTGGAATTAGTATTTATGCTGGCTAGTCATTTACCCACTCCTCATTCCATGCACATTTGTTTGGGGGTGATTATGAACCTCCACTCAGGCATACATACTACCTCCAAATATATCCACATCACAAATTGGGGGAAAAGATCATTTGCATACTCTAGTCCTAAATTATGGAATGGCCTTCCTGAAGACATCAAAAAATGTTTATCCTCTGATTCTTTCAAAACTCATCTCAAAACATTTCTTTTCAAGTCTAGATCTTTTTTTCCTGTTTACACGCGCCTTGAGCACTCCACAGAGTGGATTTGGCGCGATATATGTTACATTATTATTATTATTATTATTAAATTATTCAAAAATAATATTACATTATCTTGGAAATCATTTGTTGAGATTACAAAATAATCATAAACCTTTCAAGTCTAGTGGCAAGCTTCTGGAGCTATTTTGTAGCACTGTACATTCTTAAAACAAACCAATGTATCTTTTATAAAAAAAAAAAAGATTTTACAAATTAGTCTCCTTCCCCCCCCCCCCCCCTCGCTGTTAGCTTTCTTAAAAATAAAATGCGCCTTTCTTTATTATTTATATTCCAATCTTTGAAGGCAAGGGTATCAATATCTATACTATGAAGAAATCAATAGCATCACTTCAGTCTTCTGCGGAATGTGAAATAACTAGTTATGAACAGATGTTTCAAGGTAAATTGTCTTTACTGTTTTTTTCGTTTTAAAGATTATAAGAAAACTAGTATATGGCCTTTGTGTTATTGGCCTTCAGTTCAAAACAATTTCCCACCAAACAAGTAATTATAAAGGTGTGTTACATCAAAACAATTTCCCACCATACAAGTAATTATAAACTAGGTGTGTTACATCTTGTTTGTCAACCTTCTTTTCTCTCTTCCCATCATTGCACTTTCCTTTTCAAAATATTTTCCAAAAAAGAAATAAAAACAATTGACCTTTCATTTTATACATCGTTGTCATGGTTAACTGATGTATTATCTTTTCAGCAATACAATTAAAACAGTGACCAAAACAATGATTTTTGCGCCCTTCAGCCAGGCTTACATTAATACTGTTATTCTGAATGCACTACAGTAGCAAGTACAGGTGTGGTGGGCATACATCAAGTATGTTGCAAAAAGTATTAAATGTCACAATCCAGAAACATATTTTATCAAAGTCAATCAAGAGTCATACTTTTAGTAGTTTTCATCAAATAATGCAATTTGTTAGCAATGATGAGTTAATGAAACAGGGCTGTGATCTAACTTTGTGAAGAATATGAATTAGGAAATACCTTGCATATGTTATCACACAATCTGATTACCTTCAGAAAGTCTACAAAGATATAAAAATGAACTTAAATTAAATGGGCCAAAGGATTACTGTTTTTCATGTTATATAATATAGTTTTAGTTATAACTTAGACCCGTATAGCATTACCTGCTACTTTGGTAGCAATGTCATATATAATAACACAGATACAGGGACACACAAGGACACCACACAGTCACATATAAATAGATATTAACGGTGAATTCTTATTGGTTAAAGAGCAAGATTCATTTTACCTTAGGAATTCATTTGGATATATATATAATATATATATATATATATATATATATATACAACGTCTCTCTCTCTCTGCTATATACACACTGTCATAACTTATGTCACTATGTTGCTGTCACAAAATTTCAGTAGCTGACTCTACCATTAAGACTCCCCCATTGTTCTATAAGTACGATTCAATTTCAAAATATCTTGGCATTCTAGAAAGCTTGTGAGGCTCGTTGTTGAAATCTGTTGCACCTAAAATAGGTGTGCTTTTTCTACGAAGTTCTTTCTCTTTCCTCTGTTTGTCTGTTTCTGTTGGATGTAACCTTGCAATAGATGCTTGGACTGAGCTTAGGAGGTTGGGGCTGCTTGTAGTGCTCCGGTGACGCTCAGACTCTAACCAGGATTTGATGTCTTGAGGTTTAGAGGTGGATTTCAAGTTCTCTTTACCAAATGGCTTGAGTCTTTCCACAGCACTGACTTTCTTAGATTCTTCACTAGCAAGGTGCTCACTGATAGCTTTCTGAAGGTCCTTACCACCCCCTACAGTATGTCTCCTACGCCTCTTCTCCCTGTTCTTCTCCTTGACGGACGTAGTGTCTTTGGCAGATCCTCTACGGGTCTTGGAGATCTCCTGGGCATTGTTGGCGATGTTATCACGGAGGGACGTTGGAGTAGTTTCTCTCTTCTCCATCGTGAGGATGACTTCAATACGACTGCACTTCTTAGGAGAATGAGATGTAGACTTGGCCATCTTGGACTTAGCAGATGATTTGACGATGTCCTTCGATCTTACGGGAGAGCTGGTGCTAGAGCCTGATCCTGAGGAAGCAGGAGATTCTAGTCTCCGTCGCAGGACATCAGACCTGTCTACAGAGTTACTCCTATAATGAATGCCCCTGGGTTCATCAGCTTGATGATGATGGGTGTCACTCACAAGACTAGTAGGACGGGAGGTGTCATCTTCACTCTCATGCTGTAACACTCGCTGTAACCGCTCTTCAAATGTGGCTTTCATAGACTGAACAAAGTCACTTTCATCAATGTGCAAGGAAGCAAATGAGTCAGTAGACGATTGCTTCTTGGTTGATTCTTCTTTAGCTACAGTGTTAGCCTTGAATGCATTGTTATTATTAGAGGATTTTGATTGATCCCTACCTGAAGGCTTTTCAAGAGAGTGTTTCCGACTAGCAGAAGGGCTCTTCATACCTTTACTTGTATAGTCCATGATCTTATTAGATACAGCTGCTAGCTCACTTAGGTAATCTTGTGACTTGAATAACTCTTCTATGTTTGTATTGTCTTCTTTCTCTAAGTCACGTAGCGCCTCAGCATGCTGGCGCTCTATTCGCTCACGCTCTTTGGAATAGTCTGACTGCACCCAGCTGTCTCTCTTTGATGTTGCATTGGTAAGAGATTTCAGCTCCTGCTCTAGATTCAATGGAGGATTACTCTCTGAGGAGTCAGATAGTTTTCTACCCCGTGTTGAACCAAACTGGAAATTCTGATAGTAAGATCGTTGATAAGATCGATTGCTAGAACCAAAGAGAGAGCCTTGAAACATAGCCTCCATTTCCTTGGGGCTCTCATCACTCCCGCAGCTTGATTTGGAATCAACGGAACCCTGAGAGTTCTGACGCAGTACCACCTTACCGGTGCTATCATCCTTTCTAAGTCCAGCCGCGTGTAACGACCTCTCATCACCCACATCTATCGTGATTGGTTGCTGTCCAACTGTAAGACGCAATGACTCTTGATCATGTAGTTTGATAGTATGTAGCTGAGGTGGCTCTGGACTAGGTCTTCTATACTTGACTTCACTCGTGTCCACCTTCTCAGGAGAGAAAGGTTTGTTGGGTGTCTTTAGCTTCCTTTGAGCAGCAGAGTTCACAGAGAGAATCAGGTCTTTAGAAGAGAACAGACCACCAGCATCACGGCGGATATCTTCTGCAAAGAGAAATGTCACAGGATATTAATAATGACATACAGGGTTGAAATCCTCCATCTACCCATCACAAATGAGAATACAAAGTATGTACACCCCCAACAGAATGAGTGTCAGCTAAAGACATGACACAATGTAGGTAGTAAGGTGTAAAACAATTTGCAACTGCCTTCCCCATCCACATTTTTATTTTGAGGTAACACTATTTGCTTAACCCTTCCAGTGCAATCAATAATCTTAATCACTAAAATTTGGAATTGACACTACTAATTTAAAAGCAGGAAAAAATGTTTTCCTAATTGAAATTGAAAATGACTTGACTGTGAAGCGACATATCACCAAATGTACACAAAAAGATGATCCATAATCAAAAATTTAAAATTTAAAAACATATTGTGAAATCATACTTGTGGTACATGTCTGTAAACTTGGATGTACTGTACTGGAGGAAAGAATTATGTTGAGAGTTGAGTGCAGTCTTACCCATTGAAGATGTTTTAAGTGGACCAGTCTTATCCATCTCATTCTCTTCCTCCTCTTCACCTCCGTCTTGTTCATCTTCTCCTTTCCTCCTAGACGGACTCTTCTTCTTCTCCCAGCTGTTCAACCTCACCGCATCACTAGGGACATCCTGCTGACTCTCTACATCATCACTGAAGAACCAATCACAGTGAAGGATCAAGCTCTCTACTATCTTACACTGGTCAGACATGTCTGTTACCATGGTAACCATGCTATCGTCTCCAGAGCGTACCAGGGTAGGACCGAAGACGATGGCAAGGTTACGGACTTCCATGCGGTTCACATCTGCGTTGGCTGCAACTCCTATCAAACAGAAAAAGGATGAATTGGTTTAATACACTTCAACTTTATATAATCATAAATCTTGTTCATTTCCATACAGTTGGGATAGATGCATATCAGCTGGCAATTCAGTTCTAGGGTTATAATGATGAACTCAACATGTATGATACACTCATTTAAAATATTGTACATAATATGATTGTGCAACACCTGCTCTGGTGACAATTCTGAGAAGACAATGTCTCAAACTGCTCTAATTTCAACCATGAACCATAAACTACTTGTTAACCCAACACTATTCCTATGCCTACACTGAAGTCCAATCACACCAATAACCCTACATCAAATGATATATCTCAGACAAAATCATGACTAGAGCAGGAGCTCATCCAATAATACACCATCTAAGGACCAAAGAAGACTAACCTTTGAGATGGTTGGCAAGGTATTTGAAGGACTCATAATGGTGATCTGGTAGATTATGGATCTGTCTACGTAGAGCCCACATCCTCTCTGAAGGTTCTTCCATACGATTAGCTGCAATGAAATCCTTGTACTGGTTGTTGGGTACCATTGGATTGGGTAGCTTACGGAAGAATAGCTTCATTAAACTACTGATCACATTCACATCCTGCCAGCGCTGCGATTTGGAGAAAAGGTAGAACATTATTAATAAATTACCATACGCGAAATCTCAATTACCCACACAAGAATGACATTTTTTAATAATAAAGTTCTTTATATTTAAAAGAATCTCTTCTCTTGAAGCCCTTCCAAGAGAGCTTCCTTATATGCTTCTATTAAACAGGAAGTGTTATAAATCAACAAATAAAAACACTGAGGAGTACACATGCCATGGACAACGAATGAACTTCTTATAGAATCACTGTCAGTAGGTACAACTTTTCAACCCCTCAATGGTTCTATGAAATCTAAAGAATTTTTTGAAAAAATGATTTATACAGACTTTGCAATTGACCTAAATTACTGTGAGCACAGCAAAAATACTGAAAGCCTATCTGCACTAGCTTGGCCAGGAGGGATTAGACCTCCCTGCGTGTCACTGACAGGTGGTTATCTCATCAAATCAGCTCTCACTTAACATAAGAAAGAGGGCATCATGAGGGATCATCGGGTACCGCATTGTTTGATATATAGAGGGCGCAAGTAGCTAAAAAGTAGTGCAGTGGGGCTATATCGGTTGACTTTGGCGATCATGCTTTTCCACAACCTTCGGCTCCTAGCCTTCTGTATTAGTACCACTCCCAGTTCTTTCACTCCTCTCTCTTCCAACAATTTCTGCAGACTGTCCATCCAAAGTATCCTCCTTCTTCCCCTACTCTTTCTTCCCACAATTTTCCCTGTCAAAGCAAGATTCTCTAGGCCTTCTTTACGTGTAATGTGACCCATGAACTTCAACTTCACACGATGTTATATTGCTAATAAACTATTAAGCTTCTCAGATCTTACCTCATCAGTCAGATCAATCTCATCTACTCCTTTCTTGAGTTCTTCTTTGAGATATGAGATACCTCCGCTGTTCCCAGGTACTCTGTAGATCCCTACATAGTCCATCCCTTTAGCTTCTATGATGGAGCAGCAGATCTCAACAACCATCGGTACAAGCTGAGAAGAGACAACAATTATAATAATTATAATAATAATAATAATAATAGTAATAATAATAATAATAATAATAATAAATTCTTATAAAGCACACTTATCTAATAACTTACTCAAGGCGCTATACAAAACAAAATACACAAATCTCTCTCCAGAATTTTAACATAATATCATTGGTAACTCTGAGTAAATAAAACCGTTTTTAACATGTTTCTGAAAGGTTTCTATGCATTGAATGTTTTGAATGGCACTTGGCACAATAAGATATGCACACATCATAAACCTACAAACAATCAATTTTAGCCCCCCCCCCCCCTCCCCTTCTTTCATCAAACTTTTCAAAGCTGCTGTGATTTTGTTTAAATATTTTATTATATCAATTTTTTTCTGATACAAGCAAAGCAAGTCACTATATTCAACTGTTTCATTTCAATTTCCTTTTTTGTTACCTTAAGCTTTCATTATATTTAGACATGCAACTTGCCTTTATCTATATGTAGCCAACCCCCCTGCCCCAATGCCTCTTCCTATCAATTTACATGCAGATTTATATGTAACATCATTACCTCATTGGACTGTGATGCGGCACATTCATCCAGAGGAACTCCAAACGTAGCATTGCCGATCATCTGATCATCCAAAGGGTAAGCAAAGCCCCCAGTCCGCCCTCGACCACGGATGTGTCTCTTCATACGATCAGCAAAGCTCTGGCTTGCTTTGGCCTTGGCAAGCATCTCCTCTGTACACAAGCAACAAGAAATCAAGCAATGAAAACTCAACTGAAGAATTCCATACAGCCACAAGATTAAAACAACTAAGCTAATGATGTTATTTGGAGATATTTACTGCTTTTGATGATAACAACATTTGTTTTCTCCAGAAATGAGTATTCATGTATCACTCCTTTGTTTTCAGTCATTATACAGCGTAAATGTATTTATTAACACATGAATTATAAGTTCTCTAGAAAACCCCAAATTTGTTGAATAAGATTATGGGGAAAGTCCACCTTAATATTAGTTTGTGTTTAATAAAAGCAGAAAAATTAGTGAAACAATATAGTGAAAGTTTGAGGATATCTGATTAATTTTTTTTAAATTGTCATCAGTGAAGCACAAATTGGTAACGCTGTGACATATCTTGTGATCTCCTCTCCAGTTTGCTCTGTACAGAAAATTTGATAAACTTTCATTTTCTTAATTATTGATGACGGAACAGACTTGTTTCATACGTGGGTTGTATAAAGACATATTTGCAATAATTAAATTAACAGTGAATGTATGATTGAAATTGTTGTTAAGAGAAAATATACATTTTGGAAGTTTTTTAGTCCAGGGCGTTTTGGAGGGGACCTTGCAAGATATTGCCAATTTGTGTTTAATTGATCAAATCTTCAAATATTCATAACTCTCTTATTTTTAATCAGATTTTGCTCAAACTATCACTGACCTGTTTCTCTCAATTTTCTGCTTCTATGAAAACCAACTTAATATCAGGATGGACTTCCCCTTTAAATAAAATCAACTTGCGAGAATTGATTATAATGCAAGTTGAAAGACAAAACATGCCTTTTTATCTGAATAATTCCACTACCAGCTTTAGCAGGTGTACCATCCAATTATACAATTCCCAATAGGTTGGAACAATGATTACCAAGAAGCCATTAAAATTACGTCAAACCTGCTTTAGTGACAGGTCACCTGTCTACAAAGGCCACATTTGTTGTTTCCCTTGAAAAAGGTTTCTCGTTAAGTCATGTTCTAAAGGAACCTGTCTACAAAGGCCACTTTTTGTGTTTCCCTTGGACAGTCGCTATAGACAGGTTTGACTGTATATCTACTTGTTTTCCTTTGCAAGCTGTGATAAGATTTAGTCCATAACAGGCAGTGTACACTACTGCTTGAGTGTTTGAGTGCTAACCTTTAGCTGTTGGTCTTGGTTTAGGTTGTGTTCCTGGTGAAGTGACCGACTTGAAGAACTTCTTCCTATAGGAGCTTGGTGATGGGACCTTGACCTGATGATGGCCAGGCTGGGTCTCACCCTTGCTTGACTTGTCTAAGAGCTGCAGTAAGTTGTTCTCTTTCTCCTGTTCATGAAAAATAACAAATCAAAATGAGTTTAGGATATCAATTTGACCAAGATATCTCAACTTGACCAAGATATCTCAACTTGACCAAGATATCTCAGCTTGACCAAGATATCTCAACTTGACCATGCTATTTCAAAAGAGCCTCGGTGGTATCTAATTTGTTTCTTGAACTGTTTATACCACTCAAGTCTCTTTCCAAAATATTTATCATGCAGTCCAATGTGGACAAGTTCTGCTCACACACAAATACATTATGTATACTCTGCATGTACATGTATATACATGTAGCTTAAAAATATGGTTGTCATGTTGCTACTGCTCTGAAGGTTCCATCTGATGACCTTTCATGTAAAATGCTGCCTACACACATCCTCATTCAGGTAACCCTACATTGGAGAATATAGGAGCAATAATACTCTTCTGAAAAAGATTCCATAATGCAACTTGTTTCAAAGCAGTCCAAAGAAAATCAACAATACCATGTTGTCTGTATCTGTATGGTTTGATCAGCAAAATGTCTTCTTCAGACACATCCACGCTAATGTCACTGTTTATTCTCTCCATAAAGTCTCCCTACATTATCATCCTCAAAGTTATACATGTACGATCAAATCACAGGATAGAAGATTTCTCAAAGTTCTATGACCAGATCAGTGGCAAGAATATTCCTCAAAGTTCTATGACCAGATCACTGGCTATAAGATTCCTCAGATTCAGCTAGGAGGCAGAGCCCTGATAAACAGCAGTCTATGCTCATCTTGATCAGCGGATGTTTGTAATGAGTCAAAGTGATCAACAAGCAAGGGAGTCTAGCTGGCCTATGGCCATGTCATGGATTGAATTGTTCAAATAGTAAAGAGATCGCATGTATCAGGTCACACATGTATAGGCCTCATCACCTTCATTAGTATCATGGTATGTGACATTCAAACTCATAATGAGTCTGGACACTTAATCCAAGGGAACACTTTATGATGCACACCAACACCATGATATTCAACGTATCGTAATAGTCTGGATGCACACCAAGGGAACACTTTAACCAACACCATGGTGTTCAACGTATCATAATGAGCCTGGACACGTTATGATGCACACCAAGGGAACACTTTATGCACACCAACACCATGGTGTTCAACGTATCATAATGTGACTGAACATAGGAGTCTGACAAGCACTTTACACCATCCCTCTCTCTATCATGGTGTACATGTATCTGACATTCAACACAAAAATGAATCTGGACACATGATGACACAACTGAGCACTGTACAATCTATACAGCAGTCTAACAGAACACAAACAAATACAAATGGAATGGGTAGTAGGGCACTTTACAACAACTCACTATTGAAGTATTGTGATATTTACAATATAATGAGTGTGGACACATGACAAAGGAGATCAAGGGGCACTTCAGGATAGGAATACCCCTTCTTGTTATAGTATGTAACAGATAACACTGCTCATAACTCTGTGTCTGGACATGGCAGAGAGTTGGTATTAGAACATCCACCCCCCCCCCCCTTTCCCCTTCCATGGGAATCTTTGGTATGGCACAGTCATTCATCATTTACATAACAAAATGAGTCAGGAAATAAACTTGCAGGAAGCTAGGTGGATGCTTGGTATACTTGCCCTCTGTTGCAGCCCCTTGATTAGCAGATATCTAGGATCAAGTGAGTCTGGGAAATCATGTACAATGAATGAGAGAAAGAGTATATGCTTGTACTCCTCTCTCTTGCTCTCATGTCTCTACTCTATTCATACTCAGGTGGAAGTAACATTGGCACAGAACACTTCAAAACGTTTCAATCTCCTTTCTATTCTGATTTTCAATTAACAAAGACAAACCGGTACATGTAAATGTACAACTCAATATCAATATGGTTGAAAAGCTTTTTAACAAAAAGGTTGGTGCAGCTGGATGTGATGTTCTTCACAGTGGAAGTGACAAGAAAAAAACCCACATATTATTCAAGAGAAGACAAATTTGCTTTGGACTAATTCAATATTTCACTTCAAACATGTACACTATTGATGTAGGAGGTGCCGGTCTATATAAAGTGGAAGTAGAAAAAGAATTCCATAGAATTCATCCATTCACAATTGCAGTACAATTTCTGCAGAAATTGTTTCACTTATAATATAAAAGAATACAGTGTAAATGTATATGACCGAATGAATTTACCCACCGTAGACTGAAATGCCAAGTTGCAATGACACACATGTAGCTTACTTGAATCCAATTGGTACATAAAAACGTTCCAATATTATACTTGGATGATATCAAACTGTTACTTGAACACAACATCCAATGTCCTTTCTACATGATACGATGCCATACTGCACGCACACAGTGTCCAACAACGTGTAATGTTGACATGCAGCTAGGACAGGAAGAAAATAGAACAGTCGTCTCTTCAAGTCTCGAGTGTGAGTGGTCATACGTCACATTCTATGACGTTGCTTGAAAACTGGAAATTTACTACTTCCTCAACCTCCTTTGGTTAACAGCATTTCATCATCATTCAATAACCTACATATTACAAATATTTCCATTTAAAGGTAATACAAAGTTTTGGGAAATTTTGAATATTGAGTGGATAGTGATTCTTTACAATTTTGATATTTGGATGCCCCTGTGGATGTTTTGTAAGGACTAAAAAATTAGCTCCTAAAACACTTCGACTCCTGCTGTCGAGAAAAATTGAATATTAAAATTTACTGGTGCTCCCTGTAAATTTTGATGAATTTCAAATAGCGCCTACGGCCGTACAATGGTAGCCACGACCATGAAAATCTCAGAATATGAAGTTGTGATATATAATTTCTAAACGGGAATAGCTAATCTGTCGATTTTAGTCAAGAGTCATTGTTTTATAGCTTAATCAATATCTTGACCTTGAGAGGGAGCTATACAAAATAAATAGTTTATTATTTACAATTTCATAACTTTAGACTCGATTTCAACCGCGACAACGATCACTGAATATTGTAGGATCGCATATGCTTCCAATATGTTCATTTGAACCAAATTCATGACCCCATACCAACACTTTGTATTACCTTTAAGTGACAACTAACAACATGAAAACAAATTATCACTTAAACTATATTATGGCAGCATGTGAAAAATCAAGAAATGACAATATAAAAGAGTAAAGCTAGCTCTGAAAAACTACACCAAGAATCAAATAGACTTGGATAGATTTGAATGAAGGAGGCTAGCTGTTAATGAACTATTAATTCAATGGCAGTACCCTGTCTGTAAATATTACCAACCCTATAGACCTAGCGCTGCTCAGTGGCTGCCAGGCTCACGATGAATTGGGCAAAAAGAATTTACATTTTCGGTTTAACTTAATAAAATTTGGAGTGGACTTAAGTTTAAAGAATATTATTATTAGAATCAATATATTTATAGTTAACATGCATCAGTGTCACTGTCACTGCTATGAAATTGAAAAGAACTTGTATTGTTTACTGTTGGAAAAGACATTGTGGCTAGGCAGTCTCATAGGGGTAGTAGGAGGTGACAAACTTATTAAAACTTAATGGATTCTTTTAAAACCTCTCCTCTCATTATGATATCTATGACAAAAGTAATTTGTAGTGTACTATGAATATAATCATTCTAATATGGAATTATAAAACTTTCAAGGATGTCTCTTTCCTACAATGCAACCATATCAACATGTTGACTATCTCCTTGAGGGTCTTAAATCCCTGATTGAAACATACCAGTAAATATGGCTCATTTAGATCAACATTGCACAATAATCTAACTTATACTGATATCGCAACTACTCCGAAGATCAAGATACACTAATCTTGATCTAGGGAGACACGAACGAACGAACAATTGCATAAAAACAATGTATATTGCACCAAAATTATATATTAACCATTACAAAATTTAAAGAATTATATTGCCACATCAACAGATTGTTCCCCCTATTCCACAAACCCCTGAATATTATTTCCTCTCTCAGGAACAGTCATTGTCAAAGTTACTGAATCAAAACTAGGTATCGTTTGATACTATCACAGTGTAAGACCTCAAACAAGATCATATCACAGAGTGCTGTGAAGATTTCAAACAAACTTTCTTTGCTATCTAGAGTAAAGTGAAACCTATCAGTTTCAATTTGGGAGGAAATGCAATTAAATTTAGAAGCTTAACTGATATCACACAAAGAGAAAGGAAGTTAGCTGTCTACATATCAGCATGAACTTCATGAACATAACCAAACTAGTACAAAAACATGAAAAATAAGAAATTTGGGGTGTTCACATATAGTTGGAGACACTGTCATAGTCAAGTATAACAAAAATAAATTGAACAAACTACATAAAATATTTGAATTTGTTGTTTCTACAACAGGAACTGCACTCATTATGGAAATGATAATGATGATCATGGCAATGATTTTAATGATGATCAAAATGAAAATGTTGGTGCTGGTACAAAGGATCATGAAGATGATGACTTAGATGACAGAGTTGGCAACTGTATCAAGAGTAAATTAAATATCAAATTGCGCAAAGTTATTCAAAACCTTTTGTACAAGGCATATGGACAAATGCTTTTGATTTGATTAACTCTAATACTGGACCCAACAGTACCCCTACTCCTAATCCTAACCTTTTTTCAATTCAATTCAATTCTCATTTATTTCATTCTCGATTAAAAATTACATTCATACAAATGAAACAAAAGCACAATCACAACATAAGCCCTAACCTTTTATCTCTGTGTCTGAAACTGATGTCACCACTCAAATGCCAGATTGTTATTAATTATCAAAACTAAGCCTGTTAAAATGTGTTTCTTTTACTTTGGTATGGTGCAAGAATGACCTGTAATAACCCCTGGTATGAATGAGAGAAGGATGCCCTTTCTTCATGCAATTAATATTCTTTCTTCCCATTCCAAGCTTCCTCCTTAAATGCCAAACAGCTTCCATTCCAAAACAACATAGGTATTTTATCATATCAATTTCTGACTTAGTTCATATTGATGAACAAAAGATATTCAGGGATCATAGAAGGAAGATGGTAATTAAGTGTCTTCAAAAAGAAAACTGTAAAGAAATACTTCTTCAAAACTGTTGAGGATCTTGGAGAGCAAGTCTCTAGTAACATAATGCAATGGCTGGTGGCCAAACGATGATACCTAGTACTCAATCCATGAAACCAATGATACTATACAGGTGGCAGAGGGAGAGCCTGAAAACTAACATCCTGCATCTATATGTATGCTAATGCTTCAGCAACATTTCTGAATAATAAATACCCTTTTCTTTGGAAAGTAATGACAACATGACACCCCCTGAATCATTGAGAACAAGAGGTTGGATCAATCAAAGGGCGTCTCTATATTAGACTGGGCAGGCAGGCAGTATGAGGAAGGATGTAATCAGTGTAGAATGGATATAGTCTAGCTAGCTAGCCAAATACAAGGAAACAACAACCTTTCTGCCAAGTGACCAAACCCTTCATCATCCCCTATACAGCACAGGACTCAGTCAATGATGAAACTAAACCCTATTGGGAAATGGGATTCTGTGTTCCTACATCACCTATGACGCCTAGCTGGAATGCTCCCCAGGGAGTGGAGAATGTGCATACATTGTGTGCGGGTAAGCCTGAATACGATGACCAGGGTAATAATATATATCTGTAAAGCGCTTTGAGAGGGCCTGCGGTCCTGAAAAGCGCTATATAAGACCGCACTATTATTATTATCATTATGATCATCACTGTCTATTACCATCTGGTTAAAGGTACTTGACAACAGTTTTAAGTAAAAAGAGAGTATAGAAATATTCAGAATGTTTTAGATATTGTTAAGCTGGGGTGACGGTCTGAAATGATTACATCATTTATACATGTTATACTTCACCAAGGCAGATTAAATTGTGCAATTAACGTTTTAATCAAGTTTACACAAATGTTGTATTAAACGGTTAACCTTCTATCCGGTAAGCCAACTGCACACACACATTACCCAATGTCACATAATGTGGATGTGATTTCACAATTGAAATACCTCTCATAAAATTAAAGATGGGACCATTATAAGAATCAAAATGCTACCCCTATCACAGTATGGTTTTAATATCCTGACAGAAAATGACCATACAGTAAGCAAAGTAAAAATACAAAGCTTAAATTAGTTACAAACACTATTCCAAATTTTGAATTTTGACTTTCCTTATTCCTATTATGCCTTTGGTTGTTTTAAATGGGTCATCTCCCAGATCCGTTGCTCTCTTTTCCCATTTCCTCTACGGTACTCTAAATACAAGTTTGCTACAATTCATCATGCTCAAGAAAATGGAGACGAACAATATACAACTTTATCTGTTTATACCCTTTTAATGCTTTAGACATTTTAAATCTCCAAAATTTATATATTACATTTTTTAAACTTCAAGATTATCTTTTAAACAAGTTCATAAATTGTACAGTACCTGTATATGCATGATTTCTTGATGTAATAGAAAAGAAAAACTGGGTTTGGCAATTTCTCAAGATGGGCTAAAAGATACATCTAAAGTGCAATGTACAGCAAAACATTACAAGAAAATTACAAGAAAATTACAAGAAACATTTCTATATCAAGACAGAATTTCTAGGTTACTGCAGCAAATTTTGTTGCTAAGGAAATAGAACAGAATTGCCAAATGAATATTCCCTTTTTATCAGTTCCACTACCCCTATACTCACCTTTACAATATATACTACTGGCCTCTGTACACGAAACAATGTGTACTGCCTGCATACAACATGCCTCTTTTCAGAGTTTCCCATTGAACTGCCCGTGGTTACAGAGATCACACAGAACTAGCGACTATCGATGAAAACTTACGACTCAGAATCAAAGAGGAAATATTCATTGAAGTGCAAAGTCTTAGCCATGAGCTCCGGTCAACTTGCCCATTCATTAACACATACAAAGTCAACTAAAAATGTGGGGAATCCAAGTCCAACTTCATACTGATTTGTAGCCGCAACACTGAATATGAAGGTTCATTTGAGTAAAGATATGTCCAGAGCAGTCGTTAAAACAATGCATTTAATGAGGTACAAGGAGAGAACTAATCTGCATGTAAACTCACCAGGGAGCTAGCATCAAAGAGGTGATTATGAGTATATAGAATAGTCCGCAAGCCATGCATGTATCATATTGCAGGTCAAATATTGAAGACAACAGATACAAGTATTTGTCACTACCCTTACCCCCTATCTAAGCTTACCGACCTCCTACTCTCTGTCTCTCTGTCTCTCTCTCTCTCTCTCTCTCTCTTAACTTGTGCGTCATACATCATTGACCTCTTCCTTTATTGCCCTCCCCCTTCTCTTTTCCTATTTTGTTGCCAAGTAACATTAATATTTTGTAAGTTTCCCTTTTTCTCTCTCTATGTCTCTGTCTCTCTCTCCGTTTCTCTGTCTGTACTCTCTGTCTGTCTCTGTCTCTGTGTCTGTCTCTGTCTCTGTCTCTATGTCTCTCTCTGTCTCTGTCTCTGTCTCTCTGTCTCTCTCTCTCTCTCTTTCTCTCTGTATACCTCCCTCTGTCTACAGCATGACCCTGATCAGAAGATAATGCATGCTAAGAATAGAAAGTCAGAATACTTACCCCTTCGCAGGGATCATTGTTTTCCTGAAGTACTTTAATCCAAGCAAGCATTGTCTCTGCTTCACTGACCTGTGTGCAAAAAAGATCATGATGTATGTTACATCCTCAGATTATATAATCAAACAAAAACTTGTTGCAATACCACAGAATAAGTCTGTACTACCGATCATGTGCAATGTAAACCATGAATATTAGTTGTCTGTAAGGTATGTCTGTAAGGTATCGGTTATCTTGGTGTGGTTAGAAACATGACTAACATTGTATACTCCAGACCTGCCAACCTCTAGAGTTAAAAAACGGTATTCTTTAATCCAAAAAGTTGTATTTTACTGACAAAAATTGTATTAGAAAAAGACACTGCATCAATGCCTCTTATACATGTACATGTAGTTCCTACATACAGGAAGATTTTCTTTGTATGGATCATTGGTTGAAAATTTATGATTTTGTCATGACTGGTGTGTTCGATGAACCGAACAGCATCCCCAAATTGTCAATGTGAGATGATTGTATGATACTTTACAGGACGATTCAGTCGTACTGGTTGGCAGCTCTGATACTCTATGAACATGGCTATAGTCTACTGTAAATAATACATCACTCTATTATGAACAGGACAAACACTTTCATAATTCAATTAACACATGTCAATCATCTAGATATAATGTAAAACTGAGCTAAAGATGAAATAGATAGAGTGAAAGGTTTTCATCTCTCTCAACTATATTGTTTGCCTTCTAGCACAGGAACCTATTACAGTGATCCTTTCACATTCTAATGACTTACTCATAACATGACACCTCATGTGTACATGTATGACGGCTATTTGGATGTTCCATGGAATAGCAGCGAATAGTAAACAGTTCAATTCAATCCATATTTAATAATAAGGCCTAAAAAAAAAGATGTTGTATTGCCCTCTGCGACCGCCCCAAAAATCTTGAGTTCTATGGTGGTTTTTTTTTTTTTTAAGTTTTTTTTTACCGTTTTTTCAAGAAAAAAAGGTATTAAAGCATTCAAAACTGAGAAATATCAGCCCAAAGAGGGAGTAAAAAATAAATAAAAACAGATTTCTGACCAATCGACCCATGATTTGGCACCTAAAGGGCAATACAACATCTTGTTTTTTTAGGCCTAATGCCAATGATAATTTCTTCTTAAAACTCATCACTCCAGAATTCTCCTCTCACCTGCAGCAAGTAGGTTGTTCCAGCTACGCTTGTAAGACGAATGACATTCTTCTTCTTCTTCGTGTAATCATAGGCAATGTCAACCGTTGATCCATTCAGACTGATCGGCTGGTCAAGGAGGCCAAGATGCTACCAAGAACAAAGGTTAGAGTTCAGAGGTTAAACAGAATAATTACCAAGGGTGTTTAATCAGACATCAAGAGTCCCATCTCTAGCTTAAGGCCATACATTATAAAAGATGATGTCTAGGAAACTGCCACAGGTTCCTTGAGTAAAACATTGAAGCTGCACAGTTGATTCGTCAACTTAAATCAATGTCTCTATAGTAGCAGATTCCAAAGGCGATTCAACTGAATTTGTTGCCTCTCTACCTGTCTTGGGTCCTATCACAGGCCTTTTCGATTGCAAGTCTTTAAATAAAGATAAATTCTAACAAACCTCCTCATGTTGTCTCAGGTAGGAGCTGAGAAACCAATTCACTCTCCTTGGTTTCTCACAACCCTTTGTGAACAACTGCTTTTTATTGCCTTTCTAGATCCCTTCTTGTGACTTTGTTAGTAAGTCCAATCTTCAGTGGACTGGTCACAGATTTGTATGTATGCACAAACAACATATGTATCCCCACTAGACAATGCACCCATTAAACCAGAAAGTGAGCACATACTTCACAAACAACATACAATGAGGATCCAACATGGTGCAGGAAAGAAACACGATACTAAAACAAAGAATGGTATCTGCCCAGCCGATACTTATGATAAAAATGAAAGAAATAAAAATATGGTTTCATATCCTATCTATTCAGCCCTGTCTTCCTGTTAGCATTTCCTATATCCTTTCCAGATGCTACAGACTCTCTTTCCTTTCATTTTCACACCCTAATATCCTCATAGGAGCAATGCCAATGTGAGGACAATCATAAGGATCACACTATAAGCAATGGTCCCCTGTGGAAGAATCATTTTGATTACATATCCTATGATATACACTGTAGAAAAGGATGTGTTACCCACTACAGTATTTCTGTATTGTTTAACATTTTTTCATTTGTTTTTACCTTTTGTAATTATTGTACAGTGATTTTGTGATTATTGTTATCATTATGTGTGTATGAATAATTTGATTAATAAAAGTTTGAATGGACCCAATGTTTTCAATTACATTACATTTGTATCAAGATTCTCTGTCTCTATATGCCCATTCAAAGAACATTTCCTTGTCCATGGTCTATATATGTGATTTTCAAGAGGTCTGGGGGTGGGGAGTGGGGAGGGGGCTGCTGCATGGTGATATTACATTGAAAAAATACAAGAAAAAGGGGGGAAACTTCCCTAGAAGCTAAATGTGTGTCCTGCAGATTGTACTGTATGTTATACATAGAACATTTCAGTGAAAGTACGATCGGTAACAGATAAGGGCAGAACTTGGGTTTCAAGTAATCCGGAACAACCCAAATACAGGAAATTGTTACTTTACAGGATCACTCTCAATATGCTTGTTGGCTTGAAGCAAAACATGGAATATGAATCTCACTGCGGTTTATATTTAGCAGATGTTACAAGAACTCATATATCATGGGATGTACATCATACATGTAGCCTTAAAGGTAATACAAAGTTTTGGTATGGGGTCATGAATTTGGTTCAAATGAATATACTGGAAGCATATGCGATCGTACAATATTCATTGATCGTTGTCACGGTTGAAATCGAGTCTAAAGTTATAAAATTGTAAATAATAAACTCTTGATGTTGTATAGCTCCCTCTCAAGGTCAAGATATTAATTAAGCTATAAAACAATGTTTCTTGACTAAAATCAACCGATTAGCTATTCCCGTTTGGAAATTGTATATCGAAACTACATATTCTGAAATTTTCATGGCCGCAGCTACTATTGTACGGCTGTAGGTGCTATTTGAAAAGGCAGTAGTATTTTAGGGGCTAAATTTTCTAGTGCTTATAATACATCCACAGGGGCATCCAAATATATTAAAATTGTAAAGAATCACTATCCATCCAATTTTCAAAATTTCCCAAAACTTTGTATTACCTTTAATGAATCAGAATTATTTCAATTGACTTAGAGAGAACACAATCATTAAAGCAGGAATCTAAATTTTAGCAACCCTATGCCTTTCTGAAACAGGAAACACTTAATGTATACATTGATTTCTTATCAATCTGATTGTGGACTGGAGCTTTTAATTAGTACAAAACACAACTTCAAATACAAGGGGATTGCAGTTCAAAAGGTTCATGTACTTGGAATGATTTACAAGAGGAGGCATAGGGGTGGGGGATAAATTAGCAGTTGGATTAATAATTACTGATTAATCATGATTTTGTTGGAGCCTTTTAAGTGCAATAAAAGAGATTTGAACATTTTCATGCGATACCAAATATATACGACATGGCCTTACAATAGGGCATTTCAATCAGTTGAAAAAGGACACAATACCTATTAGCATTAAAGTGTATCCCTCCACCCCCCCCCCCAATTCTGTTAGTGCTACATCTATGCTAATTGCTCAATAAATATGTACGTTTATGCTAATTGCCCAATGAATATGTACATGTATGCTAATTACCCAATGATATGTACATGTATGCTAATTACCTAATGAATATGTACATTTATGCTAATTGCCTAATGAATATGTACATTAATGCTAATTACCCAATGATATGTACATGTATGCTAATTACCTAATGAATATGTACATTTATGCTAATTCCCTAATGAATATGTACATTTATGCTAATTGCCCAATGAATACATCATTCTCACTCTTACCTGTGATGGATCTCTCTGTTCCTTCATCAAGAATAGTTTGTTGACCTGTCCTTTGAGGACGGCCCATACAGGTTTCCATGATCTGTTAGGAGCCAGCTGCAATACAAAACAAGCACAAAGGTGCACAAGGATTAACACTCAAATATCCTGTAAAGAAGAATATATGCCATAATGCCATTGCAAATTATGGAAAGTAAATAATCAATTTGATGCATGAACATGCAAATCAAATGAACAGATATGAACTGGAAGCATGAACAGGCTTATCAAATCAACTGTAAAAAGACTCCTAAATATGTGGTAAACTGAATTCTATCATCTCATGTAAAAATTGCCTTCATTTTGATTATGTTCAAAAATGTTTTTTTATTTTTTTTTTATTTATTTACTTTTTTTAAATTATTTTTTAAAGTAACATTATTTGACCACTCTGAGAGGCATCTAATTGGCTAAAGATCTACTGCCTAAAAGATTATTAATAACCAGAAATTAATAATCCATGATAACCGATCAGTTCACCTTTAATTATCAACAATCATTAGCTGTCCTAGCTAGCCTACATACCTTGATATTAAGAGGCCCCTCTTTAGCTACAGGTCCAGTACCAAGCAACTCAATCATAGAAGGCCTTCGACAATGCTGCGCTTCTACTATCTTCGGTGTTCCCTCTCCAAAGAAGGATTTCAGCTTCCGGATGCTTGCATTTCGCTTTGGAGTGATCTTCCTATAAGGGAGCAAAGCAGATGAGACACGGCATATTATGCAAATGATCACCTTCTCATCTCCCTTCCAAGAAGATCTAGTTCTTCCCTGTAATTACACAGCAACAACTCAAGTTTCCACTGAAAACATAATTTATACACGCTTGTTTCATTTAATTTCAATTTAGTCCATTCAAGTACTGGTAATACATTTGATTTTGACATGAAGATTAATAGCGACATCCCCATTCCTTTTCTGTAGCAAATAGGCTTGGGAGTGAGCGCCGAGTACCCGATTCTACCCTTTTCTGTAGCAAATAGGCTTGGGAGTGAGCGCCGAGTACCTGATTCTACCCGATTCTGAAATCCAGAACCGAGGAGTCGATCCCAATCTCTAGAGAGTCAATTATCCGAACACATCGGTTCCGAGACTCCCAGACCCGATTCTTTGGCACTGGAATAGATTCCACAGCACTGAGAATGAGAGCCGAGCCTCTCGACTCTCTCAAAGCAGCTGAGCTTACAATTTTTTACTCATTTCTCTATGAAAAGACTTGATACGAGACACTGTAGCTTACTCTCTTGATTGTCTTTCTCCTTCCTGTGATGATGTGACGCTCCCTGAATCTCCGTGTTCTTCTTCCTCTTCACCATCAGACCCTGTCGCCCTGAGATACGAGGTCCTCCGTACAAGTCTCTGACGTCCGGACTGACCTGAGAACATTAATCAACATTTTATACAACTTGTTAATGACCAGACAACAAATAACATGAGAGCAGGCAGTGATGGGGGGGGGGGAACTAATAAATAAACATAACAATTTTGCTAAAAGAATCTATGATAAATAGTATACAAGCTTCTGTGAATAAGGAGATAGTCACTACTTTCCCAATATTACTTTTTCAAAAATTGAACCAATGTAACTGAAACCTATCACGTCTCTGGCTTCAAATTCACCAGCACAGACTGTCAAAGGTTCACAGGATTCAAATGTACTTAAAAATGAGCGATTCCTTGGAAAGGCAACGAAACGAAAGGCAACGAAACAGGAAAAAACAGGCATACTTGGAAGTTGAAATTTGAGACCAGTTCTCTCCAACTCCAAGAAAAAGAAACGATCCGAGCCCTTCTAGACCGATTGCTTGACTGAAATCAGTGAAACTCATTACAATTGTAGCTCACATCATCACATGCGAGGAAATGGCATGGCGATCAGAAATTAAAGGAGACTAATTTTGGATTAATCTCAGCAGTAGGGCTTAAAAGCCATAAACATTTCTGAATTTGATATGCCGCAGCGTGATAAGCTTGGGAAGGATTGGGATGATAAAAGCTCACATAAAACTGAAATAAAACAAAAGATTGGATATGAACAAAGTGAATCTATGTATGCAAGCCAGTGTAAGGTATACTCTATCTATATAAACACTCTGTTGCTTACCCACGCCTTGCTATACATTTCACTGATAGAATCAATTGATATAAAACAGGAAATACTACATTTAAAATGTATGGATATCACTAAAAAAATATTGAATCACTGACAAAGTCATTAAATTTACTGTAGAAACTTCAAATGGAAAATTCACAACATATGCATTAATTTATCTCTCCACGTTTCTTTTGTCTCTTTGCAAATCTTTTATTCATAAACAATTCTTTCTATTATGAAAACAAAATAAACTAAATGAGTGCAGTCAATAATAATATAATACCCATGAAACCCAATTCAATTGCTGCACCTATAACCAGGCATCTCTGCCCAGAACCAGAAGAACATACCAGTAGGCCTATATCATTTTGGATTCTTTGTACTAAAAACAAATCAAACCCAAATAAGGTTTAAAGGTAATTCATTATATTTTTTTCAAATTACTCAAGTTAATACCATCAAATATAAACTAAACCAAGTGTAACTATTAACCCACTTCAGTATCCTTTTACAAACAAATACCAACATTAACAAAAATGTTGTCTCTATTATTTATGAGAAAGAAAATGATTTACAAGAACTTAGCAGTATCTTCATAGTTTGGAAATATTCTTTCTGGTTCTCAGTAGAGTTAACAGACAAAATCAATCACATGTTCATCAAGGAAACAGCATGGTTGTTAATAAACGCCTTGCATCCCATGGCAAAATGATAAACAACTAAAATAAATCCACTTCAATCAAATAATAAATGAAATAAAATATAGTTTGCATTAGCCAACATACAACTCTGAAATCTTTGCAAAATAATGATTAAACAATATTAATAATTTTCTTAGAAGCAGGAGGACACTAAACTCATTTCATACGAGATTGAGTTGATGTCTTTTTGGCTCTCAACAACTGAATAGCATGATCTAATAGCAGTGAAGTAAATCATAAATATGGAGTGAGAAAGTGCACCTAAAACAAAAAAAATACATGAGATTACATAGAGATTAACATGGTTAAAAAAACAAGAATTCTTGTTTTCTAAACAATGGTTCATACTGCAATAGGTGTACAATTGTTATAAACTCAAATGACATTAAGAAAATCTTGTGGTAACATGAATTTCCCTGTTATTTTCCTTTTTGGTGACATGTGAGGATACAATATCCCCCAATAAATCCTATGGAGCACATTATCAAAGTTCAAAACATGTACACTCTGATACAAAATATATATATTCAGTATCATTTTTCAATTCCATACTGACATTATATCTCTTTTAAGTTTTATGACATTATTTTCTTAGGATTTTTTTAATATAAACATATGCATAAATGTAAATCTCATCAATATATTGATAATATTTATGTCATCATTGGAAATTCATGTAACCACTTTGCATCCAAATGAAATGTATAACAATGAATCAAAATCAACAAAATTCAAAAGTACAAATTGAAATAATGATACCAATGTTATCCCATATATTAAATGTTAAACCAAATACATGTAAAGTTAACAACTAAATTATTCATAGCCTTACCAAGTTTTGTAATTTTTCAAGTATGTGAAAAATTGATTTGTCTTTGGTATTCATGTGTCCTGAGAATGTGACATGTTAAAGCCAAAGGACATCCAAAATTACTATAACAAAGGCCTTGATTCAACCAGTCCCCCTTTCATTCCTCAGTTATGAAAACACACAAAACATAAAATTTACAAGGGGTATGAATAATTTACAAGGGGTATGAATAATTCAGTTGTTAACTGTATCAATTATGAATTGAATACTGCCCTCTGGTGGGTGATAATAAATATTGCTTACTTGATCTATCTTCCTGAGTTACAGTCTAATTCAATAAGAACACAGTAATTAATCATGTTAATACAGTATCAATGGCACACTCTATAAATGACGGAATTAGAAGTAATATAAGTTTGTAATTCCATGAAAACCTTAAACATTCATCCACCCATTGAAACTTAAGGTTTGTTATATTTATACCATTCTATGAAGTGTGAAATTAAAACAAATTTCTCATAAATAGATCTTTAAAAATGAATATTGCACACAAAAATGTAGGTACTAGATTGAATAAAGACTTACACAAATCATTCTTGGAAGATATATGATATGAACTGTGGTAAGCAAATTTTAACTTTCTCATAACAGAGCAGTGACTGAAATAGTTAAATACACCTAATTTCAGGAAAATGTCTCTAACAGTTTTTAAGGTATAGGATAAACATGCAGGTAATTTTACAGTTTGCCTTCCAAACGAAGTAAAAATTCCCCCTCTCTCAAAGAAAATGAATAAAATCAAGTCAGGAATAAGAAGACTATCACCTTGGTTTCATCTTCCGATAGTCTTTAATACTTGGGACTCCGCATGGTTGTTTTTCATGGCGATTGGAAAATTATTTTGCCTTATGGCTAAGCTTTATTAGGTATACATACTATCACATGCATGGTAAGAGGATGTATGCAATTCATGATCATTATAAAGATATAAGAAATACTGTTGATGCATGGCTAACTTAACTTGGGAATGGTCCAAGAGATATATAAAGGCCGGCTGTACTAGTTATGCTAGGGCGGATTAAACCACACATCGTGGTCAATGACAGGTGGCTATCTTATTAACTCAGCTCTCAATTAACATAAGAAAAAGAGGATCATGGGGGACCAATGGTCACCGATTAGGCATTGTTTTCTATATAGAGGGAGCAAGTAGCTACAAGTAGGACAGTGGGGCTTTAATGAAGACAGAACATCTGCTGAGAGCCACAATGGATAGTGTCAACAAGGAAATGAATCTATAGAGAAGTGGTTCATATCAGTAAGGACCGTGGTGACCGTAGAGGGGGTATGTCACAACAAGAATGTGGGTTATAACAATGAGGGCACAGAAAGGGGTGGAATCATCTCAATAAGGATGTATTAAACAGAGGGTTACATCAATAAGGATAGAGTTAAGACAGGGGTCATGTCAATAAGGATAGAGTTAAGACAGGGGTCATGTCAATAAGGATAGAGTTAAGACAGGGGTCATGTCAATAAGGATAGAGTTAAGACAGGGGTCATGTCAATAAGGATAGAGTTAAGACAGGGGTCATGTCAATAAGGATAGAGTTAAGACAGGGGTCATGTCAATAAGGATAGAGTTAAGACAGGGGTCATGTCAATAAGGATAGAGTTAAGGGACGGGTCGTGTCAATAAGGATGTACTTAGGGGAGGGGTAATGTCAATAAGGAATGAGCTAAGGGAGGAGCTTAGGGAGGGGTTATATCAATGAGGGCACAAAATGGAGAGGGGTCATGTAAAAAAGGATGGAGCTAAGGGAGAGATGCCAATAAGGATATAGTTAAAGGTAAAGACCAGTATTGGTAACGCCCCAATTTCAAAAAATGAAATGGAAGCTCTCATTACCAATCATGTGAAAGAATATGTTTTGACTAATACATGATGATAACAAATTTGCCGGGAAACCGCCTACTAATTCATATATTTGGTAAATTTATCTCTCTCATGGTCGTGTGAGAGAGATAGGGTAGTCCCATATACATCTTTCTGTGTATAGTGCTTGTAACTTTACGAAGAATGGGCCAAATTTCTTATCATTTTGATGATTCCAGAACCTTGCAGATGCTAGATGCTAGATGATCAACCTTTTCTGATCGATTCCACAACGTTTCTTTCACAATGCAATCGCATGACCATTACTGGTCTTTACCTTTAAGGAAAAGGTCACATTAATAAGAATGTAGTTAAGGGACGGGTCATGTCAATAAGGATGTAGGTAAGGGAGTGGTTATATCAATGAGGGCACAAAATGGGGAGGGGTCATGACAGTAAGGATAGATTTTAATGGAGGAATCAAGTTAACATGGATGAAGTCAATGCAGATGAAGCAAAGAGGGGATGGGGGCCATGTCAAGTAGGGTAGCTAGGGCTTCTTGAGAGACAGGTTATATGAGGATAGAGGAAGGTGGTCTGATCTTCTCCTTGACACATCCTTGGGAGGTATACGAGAGGGAGGGCAAGAGAGTCTAGGAATAGCTACATTGCCACGCATAACAGGAAGCACTTGATTTGAGACTGGTTTCCTAGAGATTTATAATGAGGCCAGAGCTCATCAAGAAACATGTTTTGATAAGACACTCTACAGGTGATCTTATCCTGCCCTGCCCATGATAGGATCAGTACAATGCTTTACCCTTACCTTTACTCTAACTTGCTATGTCATACAAACTGCAGTAACCTAATCAGTATTTAATTCAGATTGAGAGTAACACAATTTTGCATTTTTATCTTACATGGCAAATGAAACTTGTCACTGACCTAAAAAACCACTTTTAAAAAAAATCTTACTTGGCCGAACGTCAACAATCCATCACCATTCAACAACTGCTCAAGGAATCTCACATTCAAATTAGTATGAAAACATGTTGCCCTTTCGTACAGCGCTTCACCAATATTTCATTCAACCTCTAGCCCACATCATTACCAACTTGGGCATCTACCTGCTTGACCCAACTTTTGTTTATATAAAAATCACAATCAACTAGACTTTAATATAAAGGTATCAAAACTAATGATCAGAATGGATAACTGCACTTATTGATTTGGGTGTGATATCTTTCAAATGTCATGCATTTTTTTGTGGTCCATCTAGCAAATCTGGAGGCCCGGATGTTAGTAAAGTGTTTTAAAAAACCTGCTGGCATAATACATAACTGTGTGCACTACTTTCCACTCATATGATATTTGACATTATCAATCTTTTATGTACCTGTGAAGTGTATCCCAACATTTTGCCTGCTTGCAGCTCATTTATTCTGACAAGCATGATCAATCTTGTCTCACAGGTATGTGTAGCACCTTTCTATCTCTTTTCTTTTGATTGAAAGGTCTCAAAAAGAGATCACAGGATATACAGCTTAACAGCGTGATTAACCCTAGGGTGATTACTAATCAACTGGCTAATCCTTGCCAGGATAAACAGAGAAATATAAGTTTACAGGGGAACCGCACAACCACATACATATCTTGAGGAACATCGAGTGTCAACACGTACATAATCCAATTTGAACAACTATGTTAACACCCCTACGACAGTAGGCCTAGGGATATTCAAACTTTAAACTGAAACACAGAGTGATGATAATATTCCAAAATGAAATTTGACATAGAATTTTTGTGAGTTTAGGAAAACAAAAAATCCTAAACTAGTTACAGAAATTATTTTACAGTGTTCATTTTTAATTTGAAGAGTTTTCCTTCGTAAGAAAATATTTGTTTCACATATTAGCCTTCAACATTGCACAATTTCAGCTAATACTCAATGCTCATTGTTAATCCCATCACCAAGATAATCTATGGATCAAGAGTATGGAGTATGCTTTACAAATCCCCTCTCTATACAATCATGATAACTTTATGACATTCACATCAAACTGCTCCCTTAAATATGGCATTTTCCCCTCATTGATTGCTTCCCCACAACACACATGAAATGTCCTCTCCTGTATCCTGTGCACAAATGTTTTTTGTGTGTGCGATTTTTCTTGTGTGGTTGTTTGTTCTCTACTTGCATGAGGTGATGTGGGTTAGATGAGCAGCATACTTATATAAGGTTAGGTGCATGATATGATTGCTTTATTGTATAATACAGTGCATACATGTATAGCAGCATTGTGTTTCAATATAGCATAATAAGATGGCAGTGGTATGAAGATAAGACTTGAGTTCTGGTAATTTGACTGCATTTTAAAATAAACTGTTAAAAATATATTCAATTAAACGAGTCCTCATATCAATGTGATATTATGACTAATGAAAGAAAACAAAGTGCTCACAGATAAGCTAAGCATCGTAGATAGAATTTCTTATACATTATCAATCCTCAGTTTTAGCCCATTCCCAGAATATTCCATGAGTTACTAAAAAATGATACATTTTCTATAAAAATTGAATGAATTAATTATGTTCTCCTCTTGATTTGTTTATCCCAATTTAAGTCAAATCAACCAAATGCGCATTATGCTACGGTCACAAATGTTCGTAAGATTAATAATTTTGTACGAATCTCCCTGGTTTTCCATTGTCTTCCCGAGTTTCCATTGTCTGAAAATCGTTCGTAGCAGTTTGTAATGGCATTTGTGACTGAGGCTTTAGGTTTAATTAAATCACAAACATTTCTAAAGTTAAGAACGATTTATATCAGCATTCATTCTTTTTGCAAAATTTTGGGATATATTAATGTTTGACCATCACCAGACCTCAAGTCTACCTGTACATGGCAACCTATGATAGCAATGGTTTGAATGAATACATGAATGATACAACCAGCATCACACCTTCCTTCCACTGTAGAAGACGACGCGTAGACCCACCAAGTATCTTATCTTTGATCTTTCCTCCACTCCCTCGCTTGGTTGACCATGATCCATACCTGAAGAACCCTGAATCGGACACGGTCCGTGGGCGATCCTGTCCAGTGTCAAACGATGTTGATCTCGGTCGCCTCATTTTTAAGATGAATGCTGTTTACATCGGGGAAGAAAATTTTCTAGACCTTACACATTACTATGAGTATGATACTACCTCCTACTACTGTTTACAAATTCTTAGAATGGAACTTAGAGGAGAAAAACAAATGTGTATGTACCTTGATACCCAAGATCAGTAAGAGAAAGATCTCAAGATACCAAGTATGAAATATTGAAGGGATCAGTACTGGGAATAGCAAAACTTAAATACAATTCATGTGAGACTGGGAAACATATGCACAAGCAATAGACTTCTTAACAGAAGAAAATGATGATAAAGTATTGTAGAGTATCATCCACAAAAATCCATGACAATCACGCACAGACACATTTTGTGAAATAATGACAGCATGATGTTTGAAAGAAAAGAAGACTAGTGGGAAGGAAAAACATATATGCAGGGTGCTTTAGTACATTGCACGGCAGCTGGGTAAGAATCAGGGTAAAAGTCAGAGTGATTTAAAAGACTATTTTCTATGGTGTATTGGAAGTGAAAACAGAGGGTAATGACAAATGAGAACTGTGTTCAAGATGAGAATACACATAGCTTTGGTTCGTGGCTGCAGTATAAAGAAGGGAACAATTGCATCTACAATGATTTGCAATTTTGTATTTCGTTTAGGAAATAAAGAAAAGCTTTTGTATTTGTGAAGGGTGTGGAATGTATATGTAATGAATATGTTTTTTTATACAATGACCTTTTTTTGACAATGACTTTTACATGTACATTTTGATGAATGTAATGTTCTTCACCAAGGCAATGAAAATACAGATCGTAAAAGTGGCATATTTCCTGTTGCTTTAATAGTATCTTTTAATTTAAAAAAAAGAAATGCTATGAATCTTCCTAAACATATATTACTAACAATGGAGTAAAACATGCCACACATTACGTGCAAAATTGATGTTAAATTACAGGGGAACAAGAACAGAAGCAAATTGGTTCATAAAAATAAGATGACTGTTGTGTAAAATACCTTCCTAAAACATCAACTAAATGACATACAGGAATTGTCAAAGCACTTGTGGAAACAAGACAGGGCTCCAGGACACAGTCACTCAATTAACACAACAGGAATGACTTTGCTTTTAAAAAAGGCCTTCAAAATGATAGGGAAATATTTCTCTTTACATACTAGATGAGTGTATAGATGCAGTAGATTACCTGGGAATAGTTTGGTTTCCTTTTCTCCTGTAGATCCCGCGCTGTTACTGCTAGCGCTAGAATCTTTCCTTCCTGGTGGTATGAGCGTCCCATCATCAAGCTGAATACCTTCAGGTACCGCACCTGTTGCATTCTTCCTGTATGCCTATCATCAAATCATATCAAAAGAGCACCAATGAGTTATCAAAGTCATCTAAATACACTCTGAATAATGTCACTTTCTCTTCTCTTATTCATGGATCAAATCATTCAATATCATCATTGGGTAGTTAAATTCCATATTCTAATTTTCTAATCACTTTCATTCATTGCTCCAACATTTTCAAGGGATAATGGAGGAGTCCAATTTAGTTCAACATATTTGAGCCCATGGGTGCTCCCTATATACTGCGTAAAAAAAGCTAACTTCCCTGCATATCAAGAAATTTTTAAAAGATTTTTTTTAAATTAAACATTTCAACATAAATTACATGTAGTAGTGAAAGCTCATTACTTGATAGCGTTTGATAAGGGAGTGCTTTTCTTGACATGTAGCTCATTTCTCTTCATCCCCAAGAAAGAAATGTGATGTATAGTTTTACAATCAGATCAATACTATACCCTAGACTTAGTACTTGCTAAATATATAAATGTACTGTAATTGTCATACCTGAAACTGGGACCAATTGGTTCTCTGGTGCGCACGGTCATAGCTTCGACTTCGATGTCTCTCATTCCTAGTCTTGTCTCTCTGTTTCTCCCTCTCAAGACTTCTTTCTCTAATCCTATTCCTGCTACTATCTCTCTTTGGCACTGCTGGCTTAGGCTTTCCCTGGCTGTTTGTAGAGCCTCTTCCCCCGCTCCCATCGCTATCACAAGAACCTCTTCTTGATCCTGTTCTCTTCCAAGGAAATAAAGAACCATCACTGACTGTTAAGTTCAAATCATCTACTGGCTCTGTCGGGCTGGGTTTCTTGTCCCAGTAGACCTTACTGTCCTGTGGTTTATCAGGGAGTAACTGACATTGGTTAGATAGATGTACCACTCTCCCTGATGCTAAGGATGGGGATCGTGAGACTGGCACCAGAGCAGTAGATGAACTACTAGAGATGTTCTTAGAATCCTGATTCAGAGTCAACCGTCTCCCTTCATGTTTAGGAGACACGTTAATGTTCCTAGCATTCTGTGAGAGGTTATCCGCAGACACTGAAGCTGAGACAGTAACGCGCGTTGCATGTGTTGAGTACTCCTCTCCTTTGAGGGATGCCTTGTATGCATCATGTACATCAGGATCATCCACATGTAATGATACCTTAGCAAGGCCTCCACTCCTACTTACTTTCACACTCTCCTGCTCACTCTTCCATGTATGCATAGCTCCATCAGGGGAGTCTTCACCATCTGTTCTTTGTACACTTTGTCCATTGATAATACTCACTTGTCTGTTCAGTCTCCCTACCTCTGAACGTGCAGCAGCTGAGTTACATAAATCATCACAAGATGAGGATCCATTCAGTCCTCTTTGGGGCTGGACCCTAAGCACCGCTTGTGCGGGTGAGAACCCTGAAGTAGAAAGCAAGTTGTCCACGCTAGAACTGTAGCCACGGCTTGAACTATTCTTTGAGGTATCTGCAGGTTCTTTTGACAGTTGTGAGGAGTTGGCAAGTTTGGCTGCTTCATAGTAGCTCTTGAGTGATGCTACATGTCTCTGAGGTTGTGTGTCATGTTGTTCATGTGAGTCCGAGACACCTTCCAATGCAGCAAGACTATTTGGCTGTTTACTAGAACTTTGTGTATTTAAAACGTTTGTTAATCGAAAAGTCTTCTGTTCTTTTGTCCCATGTGATGCTTCCCCACCAGATGGATTAACTAATGTGACTTTCATCGGTCCTGCAGATTCATGGTTGATCGTAGATGCTGTCACTCGCTGGACTTTGTACTGTTGCCTAGAGTCTGTGATCTTTCTTTCATTCTTTTCATTGTGATAAACATCAGAATTTGGCGTTGATGTGACCAGTTTTGTCTGGCTTCTATGCTCCGGTACCCTGTATGTTGGTGTGTCCGTCGTCAAGTAACTAATGTCACTCCTTTCTTTGACTGACTCTGTGTCTTCACATTCCATACCCTTACCCACCACCACCACATCATTGCCATCTGATATAGATGATAGGTTACTAGTCTGGCTGCTGTACTCTGCAGGCTCTTTTCTACCTTGGTCTTGGACCAAGCTTGTCTTGTGCTCTGTCTGCTTAGGAGTTTGATTGACAGCTTTATAAGCAGATGATGGGTAGGCAACCTGGAGGATGTCTTCTTCTCTTGGGACCACAAACAGGGTCAGGTTCGTGTCACTGCAAAATACAAAAATTATGTAAAGCTTGTTACTATAATTAGATTGATAATTTATGACATACTTCACTGCTATGAAAGCCCAATAGACTATTTATGGTAATTTGAGGATCTACAGCTTTAAATCTTATTCAAAGGACTGAATTGAGGGACTGATGCCTTACAAGGGAGGGCTACCACACCAACTTGGTTTTGCACTAAATACCTCCTGATTACCAATCCACTGCTCTACCGCTGAGCCATCACGCCACGTTGCCACCATTTAAATATCACACTTAAGATCATTTATAATACTGTATCAGATGATATAAAATGATAATGTATCACATATCAAAAGTCTTTTGTGAAATCATTCTCTGGTATGACCACATTCAACCTGCTCATGTGGCATTTATGAAAAATTCTAAATTAAAAAAAAGGTCATATCCAATAAATATTCTCCATACTTTATTTTCATCTTAAAACATTTGGCTAATACACCATCATTCACCACCCCTCTTTGTTTTCCTCTCTCTTGCCCTTTCTCTCTCTCTCCTATAAATTTTTGTTATTCTTTCTTTTTTTAATTTTGAACCATCATCAAAATAAACTATGAATCATTAACCATCCTCACTACATTGTTCTATCAATCTGTCCAAGTCTTTGACATATATATTTCTTTCTCATTTCGTTTCCCCTTTCTGCATTGCATTTCCCTGTCATTACCTAACATTAACAACAAGTTATTTTAGTCTTTATTTTTGTAACAATTTCACTTAAACTGAATACTGGTAAGGAACTTGTGATTCATGTTGGTTGTTTATATAAGGAAAGTTCTCATTTAGCATTTTCAAGGAAGACTTACTTATGAAAATGACGTGCACAATGTTTGGGTACCGGTTAACTACATGTCAGGACATATAAACTCAGAGACGTACATGTACATGTATGTGACTACATGTATAATTGTATAGAAATAAACAAAATTTGATGCTCTTGGTTTGTTAATCTTAAAGTGAACAGGTTCTAAAGCCGATACTGTGTACAAATACTGGCATTATGCTAAGCTTTTAAAGTGAATCTATCTTTTATAATCAGTGATTCATTTTTAAGATTACATTATTGATATTGTATGCAATTTAAATGGAATAGTGTGAATTTGTAATGATTCTGTGCAACATGGCACCAATTTATCATTTACTCAAAGCAATGTTATGCCTACATTGAAATGTACAAAGTAGTTCATTTTGAAGTACTCCTTTCCCTTTTAATTTTTAACAGGTAATACATTTACTGAAGAAAATCTAGCAGAGATCTTTCTTCCCCTCAAGATTTACTGCATATACATGTAAGCTGCTTTAAAACTAGCCCATTAACTACTTTCTTATCTCTAAATCTATAGTCGTTTAAGCCAAACTTTAATCCAAACTTTTATCCATGGATGAAAAACTTGATGTCAACACTAAAAGCAACAACAAAGGGTGGGGTATAAGATATAACCCGATACAAACGTTTAAGTAATATAATAACACATGATGATGGACAGAAAATTTGAATTTTTCAACAGAAAGAGTGATTCCCATTTTGACGTTTTGTAATTAAATACATAAGAGAGATTCATTTCCCCGAAATAGATTATTACTAGTCTTGATTGCTACATAACATCTGACTATCAACTACTTAAATAGATGTTTTATTACTGCTTTTCTTGGATTTGTTTTGAAAATGATAAGGTCTATTGCATTTTGAAAGTGGAAAAAATGCAGCAAATAAGGTAATTATCCCATTAAGTTAATACACTGAGCCATCTTCATCATGGGTCAGCAACAGGGCATCGTATCTAGTTATTGGCTTTCATGAAAAAGCAGCTACTTCAAAATAAAGAAAGAGTACTTTGGGATAGTTTGTTGTTTCCTAGTCGACAACAAATACTGGAACACCAATAAAGACAGTTAAGAAATCAAAGGGATGATAGAAGGAAACAGTGATACATAAACAAAGGAAGAACAAAACATAACAATCAGAACAAGTCCAGACAATGGGCAAATGAAGGAACAAGTTTGGGCAGATTCAACAAAAATATTATTTGAGAGAAAGATCATAACTATGTCATACTCTCACCCCTAATCTAGTAGTGTGAAACATAACAAAACAAGTCCAGGCAAAGGACATATGAAGGAACAAGTTTGGGCAGATTCAACAAAAATATTATTTGAGAGAAAAGTCATAACTATGTCATACTTTCACCCTAATCTAGTAGTGTGAAAGATACAGGGTTTTACACATTGAGGAGATCATTTAAAAAGAGTTTCATAAGCACCTTTAGACGAGAGACCCACCTTCATCTATTATAAATAAATAATTGCTGAAATTTTTGGGAGATTCTGAATTTTAAGGGGCATTATGTGTCTATCAAACCCTTGTTATACTCTGCCCGTGCTTTAAGAAGGACCGAACAGAAATATGCAGGGTACATACTTGTTATTAAAAAGATGTTAGAAAGTATAGTTCTGACCCAGTATGTACCATGGTAATAAAGATAAAGATAAAGATAAATATAATAATAAATGAATAAATACCAATTGCACACTGGTGGATTATTCAACTCCACTGCCCAAATTAGGATATATATATGGCTTAACTTATCATTTAGTTGAAGTTTGAAGTTTGAAGTTTTATTTATTCCACATTTTACATAGAAAAACAGTTTATATTATTGTCTTTTTTTATACAGGTGTATACATGTATTATTATAGAATAGATTGCACACAAGAAGAAAAAGAAAAAAAAATTAAAGATCAGTATATTACCAAAAACTGGAAAATGTAAGTGTATATAAACTATATAATAATGCAACGTTTTATGCTGGAAAAAATACTTGTTTACGCTGTACTGTACAACATTTTGAGGGATTAAAATGCCTTTATATAGAAAATGAAAAGTACAGAACAATGAGCACTATAACCCCTCCCCCCCCCCCCCCCCCAAAAAAAAAAAAATATATATATATATATATATTTGGAGATGATTGCGACAGAACTGGTTGATGTACAATGTATAGACAGACAGACAACACAATGTATTACAAAAACAAGACTTACTCTGAAGGAAAACAAACAGTTTACACATTGAAAACAGAGTCCTGTTTCTGTACTGATAATTTCATATTATTTCTATTCATTGTTTTTCATGCAAATTAGGCTGATGCAGAGTAAAGAGGGATTTACAAAAAATATCAACATAGATGTACATGTATATGATCTGCTCAGAAACACAGTCACTAGACAATGAACAAGATCAGAGTAGAGAGAATAACAGAGAGAAAGAAAGAGAGAGACAGGCAGACAGACAGAGAGAGACAGGCAGACAGAGAGAGAGAGAGAGAGAGAGACAGACAGAGAGAATAACAGCAAATGTAATGATGATAACATCCATTATAACTTTTACATTGATAATTGTGATGACAATGATTAATATGATGAGTGATGTTGATAATGATTATGATGATTATGATGATGAGTATATGGTAATGAAAATCATTAGGAATAATAATGATAATGATAAAAATAATGATAGGAATAAATGACATGAGAAGACAAATATCGCAGCTGCAGGCCCCATGTCTGTATGGCAGTATTAAATAACAGAAATAACAAATGCAATACTCATTGCCTAAGTAACCAGAAAACCCTACTTGATTAAAAGAGAATATATAGATCAATATAGAAAAAAACAGGAATGTGTTCTACCTCATTTAGTGTGCATACTCAATCAGCATTTGACCTGATTAATTTTCCAGTTCATTAAAATCCACCATAAATATGAATTTCTGCATGCCAAAACTAAGTCAACTAGAGTTTTATACTTGCTTGGCTATTATAGGAGGGATGATCTATATGACTGGGGTGAACAATAATTTATTGACTGAATACAATATTGGGTTCTTGTATATAGCGCTCATGTCTGTCAGACTTGACACTCCTGGCGCTCCCGATTATTACCTTGACTTTAGCAGGGCTGACATTACGGCGCTCTAGCATTTCAAGGAATTAATTCCTGCCAGGTACCCATTTATATCACCTGGGTTGAGTGTGGCAAATGTAGATCAATGTTTTGCCAAAGGACATTAGTGCTGTGGCGGATCTCAAACCTTGAACCTCGGGATCGACAGTCCGGATTTCATACTATTTTAATACTTGTCTCATTTGAGATGAACATGAAATCATTATATTAGCCAGGCTTCCAAGCAGAATAAACCATTCCTCATCTACCCCAAATAATACAATTTCAACTAAATCTTGTGTATTAAAGTAGTCTACCCCCTTTGCATAATCACCACTACTTTCCCACTTGCATGCATGCAGTATGAGATATATGAGGGAGATAAAAATAATACAAGTTTACATAATGTTCTCAAAACTTACATATAATTGAGAAGAAGGTGAGGAGAGACAGAAGGAGAAGGGAGAGGGAGGGAGAGGGAGGGTGAGGGGGGAAACACCTGCTCTGTTTCATATGTGTCAATAAAATACAATAGAAATTACTTTTGGCAAATTAAATTATTTCAAAAATACTTTTATTTGTAAGTGAAGATTATTTGTATGGCTAGTAACTTTCAAGTGCTTCATCTTTGTGTGATTCAATCCTGTTATGGAATGTCATACATGTAGAATAACACATTCAGGAATCTCAATCTCTAATACAATTTGTGAAAGTTTCTGTTTCTACAGTACACCTAGCTCCACCCCTCTAAATACTAGATAGTAATTGAGCACAAGTCATGCTGAAATCCAACTGCTCCCAACCTATATGCATCTAGAAAGAGAAGACTGGTTCATTGATTGTCTTACACAGTTTGGCTCAAGTATGTACAGTAGCCATGATTCATATTATATACATGTATAATGTCCCAGATGAGAACAAAAGCCCAGACCAAACCGAACAAACAAATGATTTGAAAGGGAGAGTGAGATTATTTGGTCTTACTTTAGTTCACCCGTCTGATCTGTGTTTACTGTAGTGTATTTTGTTGAGGAATATTGAATAAATATGGGTATATTGTAAATACTGAATATTAGGATACCATACAGCACAGCACAATATACCATATAACTAAACAAGGACCATATAGAATACTATAGTTACCTGTATTTACTGTCAACAGCAAATAAGAATAGGACAGACAAAATCAGAATATTAGACAAAATATACTCAGAAAATACAACTACAATAACATTTGATGATGAGCAGCAGATACACATTTGAAACATGACACCAACTTGAATGTGGATATGAAGAGATCAAACATTTATTTCTTGAATGTTATAATACCTTCATGTATACATGTACACCATATTGATAAAGGATCCATTTTATATTTCATGTTTGCATTGATAATTTGATATGATGGCTCATACTGTACATGGACATTCATTTATAAAATGCTTTTTAGGATTTCTCATTTTGTTGCTGTGTTGGCAAACAAAAACAAAAATCTGATTTTTTAAATATTTTCCACAAAAAAAATTGATTTAAATCTATTTGATTTGTCGATTTGGATTTAGATTTAGAAGCAGTTAGCATTTATTATCATCATACACATAATTTAATTTATATTACCTAAGACTTCATCTAAGTCTCTTATGAAGAATGCACTGATTGAAAAGGGAATATCTTCTTTTTATCATAATTCAAATCCAAAATTAATGTTATTTGTGACTTGTGTGAATATGACTTGACTTCAGGAGATTATTATGTTCATTTAACAATCACACATCAAATACATGTACTTTCAAATTATATCCATTAACTTTTTTTAAATTGCTTTTCTGGTTGGCACTCCTGGTTGTGCGTGCCATTATTTCATGTTTTTAATCTCTTTTTTTTTTACCACCCACGATCAATTCTCATCAATTATGAAAATGAAACCACAGTTCCTCTCCTCAATGCCTCCCTCAATGCCTTGCTCAATGCCAATACTCAATAGCTTCCAGCTTCCTATAAACTTGGCTTCAATCCGGTACGCACTATGACTGATGGTGTGGTTATGCTTTCAATACAAAGCATTTCTATTAAATATCTGTACACCTCTACGAATCCTCCCATTTTCTTTTCCAGCTAATCTTACGTTCAAAATGACACATTTCTCTCCTATCACATGATTTTTTCCACTTATTGCAGAAAACAGAAAACTGTTCTCTGTGGTAACACTGATGACTTTATATTTGAATGTCAAAAAGATATCAAGTGCATTTTGTTTTTCACTTGTCGATTTTAAAAATGTTATTGTCACACTGTTTATAGGTTTCATGCCCTGGCCTGGAGCTGGGTTAGTGAGCAGCACTTCAACAGAACACTCGGCAGCTAGGTTTATAGATTCGTAAATCAAAAAGCTTGTTCACTGCCAATCTTGCAAAGTTATACTTGGCTCAGAGACCTACAGTATGTAGCGTAGCAAGCTTACTTTGGGGTGCAAGCAAACATTCAAACAAATTACAACAGGAGACACAAGCCAATATTGGAAGAGAGTTGCTCCCACATTAGGTTTCTTAAGGCTAGTTCAGATTTGATGAGGCAAAACCGTTGCTTTTTAAAATTTGTATTTATGATGACGTAAAGTGTAGCGATCGCATTATCTTCAAAATATTATCATTATCTCAATAGCTTCTGAATCTTATAACATAGAGCTCAGTGAATACGTGCAAGTCGTGTGTTGCGTGCTTTTGCCATTCATTTAACATGTTTAATAAATGCAGCAGGTGCTTTTTTTTTGCAGCCCTTTACTGTGCCATATCTGAACAAGTCTTTATGCTTCATCATATTACCTGCTCAAACCATGGACCCTCAAACTTTCACTTATTTTTCAATTTTATCTGCTTTCATTTAAACTGACACTTGGTCAGGTCGTACTTCACAATCGTAAAGAAAGGTATGGATTATCTAATAAAGACCATCTGTTTATAAAACACCATTTTCCTGGTTTCCTTGGACTGATCTTTATATGCTAGAGGTTATTGTGAGATTGAAGTTAATAGGGCCATTCCCACATAAAACAATCAGAGAGATTTAAAAATAGATTTATGAACAATGATCAGAATCTCACTTCTGTTTCGAGGGTGAGAAAAATTCCAACTAATTACTGAGATTCAGATCATGCATGATTCATATCTCGCTCTTTCAGTTTCAGTTACGTTTCACTTGTTACTTACCATAGCTGTATAAGATTGACCACCTGTTGGTACGTCTTGCCTGTAACACTCTCTCCATTCACAGACACTATACGGTCTCCATTAGCTAGGCCAGCCTGGTGAGCAGGACCATCCGATTTCACCTGCTTTACAAAGATTGTATCCATCGGCTCAAGGGCAGAGATCCGACTCTTTGACTTGGGTTCATCTAAAAAAATATTATATATATTGCACAATTATGAATGAAGGACAATGACTTTACTTTGAAGGATACTATTCTGGGGTTGAACTTTATTCATTAGAAGAGTCCATGTTGTATGGGCCATCGGGACATCTATAGTCACCCGACTCAACACATAACAGATGAAAACAATTTCTGTGGCCATTGCAAAACGTTACCACAAATGAACAATAATCGATGGTCATTTTTATCTATAAAAAAGTAAATATATATATTCATGTACATATATACATTTAATAAATAGGAAGTATGCAGCATATTTCTTAGAGTCATCTGAAACACTTTATTTGGTATAAATCTGTATCAACCCTTTCAATAACCTCCATAGAGCATAAAAGTTGAATTTCATTTTTTACTGTAGTTCGATAAAGACAGATCATTAATTTCATGGATGAAAATCACACTACTACACCTCCAAAAAGACCGAATAAATAATTCATGTGGTCATTGCTAATGATGCCTCAAAGGAACATTAATCAATGGTCAGTTTTGTATCTAAGGGCGCGTTCATGCTTCATTTTGAAGGCAGAATGAGCGATTTGTAATGCTCATCGTAAACGCTCATCGTAATCGCAGTTCCACGGTGCACTGTTCATGCTCACTTCTCCAGGCAATTCTGCTTGGGTGGCCTTCAGCTGGATTCGCAAACCTGTGTGCGCATGCTACGTAGACCCACTAGAGGTCAGTGCGTTGACCCCATTTAAACGCGTTTACAAATTGTAAACGCATCTTTTTGTGAGTTTACGATCGGCTATCGTGATCGCCGTTTTTCGGTGATTCTACAAAAGTGAGCATGAACGCAAGCGTGTTTTAAACTAAACGCGTAACAGATGCCTGATTCTGGCCGTCAAAATCAAGCATGAACGCGCCCTAAGTATATTATATAGCTCATTAAAGCACCTTGAGCATTCTCTGGGTGGATATGTTGTGTGTTATTAATGTCTGTATTATTTATTTATTTATTTATTTATTTATAAAAAAAAACGTATAATAAATTATTTAAGCTTTATACTTAGTTTATGGTTTGTGTTGTTGATTTTTAAAGATATTACTGAATGAGAAGTTACTATCCTTACCTCCACCAGTCTCCTGTAGTCTGTTGAGCTCGGCCACCGCAGACTCAGGTGGATAGACAATGAAGTGACGTAAAGTGAACCCAAAGCCATTGGACCTTCGTTGTAGGGTCACCTTCCTCGGGCCCTTCCAGGTGGACAAAGGATCCTGATGGTCAGAGTCCTGTCAGAGAGAGAAAAGATAGCGGTCAGGAAATAGACAATTAAGATCCTATTCAAGTAACATGGATATGTCATTCATGTCTGTTTAGAAGTGAACAATTTCACCATTGAGGTTTATATCTCTTGACCCTTGTAGGTGGACAAAGGATCTTGATGTTCAGAGTCCTAGAGAAAACAGATATTGGTCAGAAAATAGACGATTAAGATCCTATTCAAGTAACATGGATATGTCATTCATGTCTGTTTAGAAGTGAACAATTTCACCATTGAGGTCTATATCTCTTGACCCTTGTACGTGGTCAAAGGATCTTGATGTTCACAGTCCTGTAACATAGAAAAGATATCGGTCAGGAAACAGACTATTACATGTAAGATCCTATTCAAGTAACATGGATATTATTGCACCCTCTGTTTGTAAATACAGGCAAATTTAAATGCATAGCTACATACAAAAATTGAGGCAATTAGCATGCATCTCTTTATTAAGAACCCCAATAACCACACATCTCTACTAGAATCTGTTGATGAGAAATATAAAGTCATCAATATTAAGCTAGTCTTTAATTATAGCATTAACAATATTGTGAAAATGCTAAATGGATCCACTATGTTGCAGCCATCAGCTGAATTCTGAGTGCAAAGGAATGTATTAATTACCACAAACGGGAAGGGAAAGGACTAACGCCCTTTGCTAACAAGTGTTTGCAAACTCTTATGCCGTGCACGAACCTATCTTGAAGTCAGCGGATTCATTGTCTATATCTTGACAAGTATTTAAAGTACTTGCTCACCCTAAAAGGCCCTAATTAATTGATGCTGATATCCTGTCCGTTTTCGTAACAATTAGCAGTTTGACTTCTCACTACCACCATTCAATCACTGACAACCGTCCTTTACCAGGGCTCTACTGAGCAAAGACTTGATTAAAAGAACAATTTACTGAGTAATAGACTACCATCACTTGAGATAAAGGTTGAGATATTGACAGAAAATTACCTCAGCTGTTGAAACTTCATCCAAGAGAAAATATTTTAATAAAATCATCTGAAAAACCCTTTCTGCAGGAAGAAAAAAATAGTTTGTAGCCAAAATAGTTTGCAGAAATATTTTCATTATGTTGTGATGTTCTTGGTCAATTAAATACTCCATTAGTTTTTAATGCCAGGAATGTTTATTAGCTACCATTTTGCCCCATGATTTCAATAGAGGAAACATCCCAAAAGGTTTTTTTGCTTGCAACTGTACACAATGCAAATTAATTTAATGGTTTGAATTGTTTAAGCAGTATGTACAAGCAAGTCAATCAATCAAAAGTGAATATATTTCCAATGTTCATTTTCTGTCTAACTTACACAATAATGAGATACTCTTACAGGCCAAACCTTTATTTAATATGGTTAACATCATTCCTGAAAAGAATATCGATAAGGAAGTACATGTAAGAGAATGCATTTTCAATTATTTTGTTAAATCACATTGAAACTATATTCAAGGCGAAAGGAAATACTTTGAATCTCAAGTCAACAGAATTGTTAAATGATATCTTCAAGTATCTACAGACACAGTTTAAAGGTTTTTTCTGAACCTGTAGTTTGTGGTCTATCAAAAGAAAAGCTTCATTTATTGATTCATTTTATAATTCTCCTGACTGGGTAATGAAAATTTTTAGACTTTGCTGCCAATTCTTTCTCACACAATTGTAACCGATACTTTAAAAAGAATACCACAGAAATTGTCATCCGGATCCTCAAATTCAAGGAATTAAATTGATACGTACATGTATTCTACAAGGAAGTTAGATTGAGGTCTAATTAAGTCTTCTTTTCTTAAACATGAATTAGCATTTAGCAGAATTCCAACCATTGTATTTAATTGTTGATCTGTGCAAAATGTGTAAAATCATGGTATAGTCAAGAAATACATGTAATCTTTATTCAAGGCCCACATCTCAAATGCAATGACTTGTCTGTGTCTTGATCTTGTGCCTTTAAAACCAAAAATGTTGACAACTCAGTTTTCTTAAACTTAGTCCTCAACAAATTTACTTCTAAAGCTTACATGTAGACTTGTTGAACTTACAATGTATATTCTGGAACAAACTTTTCTTGATCTTATAGTTTTCTAAAGCCTAACTCCTGGAACTTCTTGATCTCAGCTCTCAAGATTACGTTCATCAACTTCGTTCTCAAGAACTTAAAAACTTCTGAAACTTTAGAACTTAGGTTGTGGGACCTCATAGTCTAGATGACAACCATATGTTCATGGACAAGGTATAACTGCAACGTGAATGCAGCTAGGTATTGTAAAAGCACATTATCCATGTACAAGGTATAACTGCAATGTGAATGCGGCTAGGTAATGTGAAAGCACATTATCCATGTACAAGGTATAACTGCAATGTGAATGCGGCTAGGTAATGTGAAAGCACATTATCCATGTACAAGGTATAACTGCAATGTGAATGCGGCTAGGTAATGTAAAAGTACATTATCCATGTACAAGGTATAACTGCAATGTGAATGCGGCTAGGTAATGTGAAAGCACATTATCCATGTACAAGGTATAACTGCAATGTGAATGCAGCTAGGTTATGTAAAAGCACATTATCCATGTACATGTACTAGGTATAACTGCAATGTGAATGCAGCTAGGTAATGTGAAAGCACATTATCCATGTACAAGGTATAACTGCAATGTGAATCCGGCTAATGTGAAAGCACATTATCCATGTAGCCTATAGAGGCCTCTAGACAAGAAGATGGTCGTTCAACTCATGGAATGTACGTCACATGTGATGGGGAAAGGAGATAGGGAGGGTTTATCTTGGTAGGATCAATGCAGTTATCATCAGAACAGTAATGGGATGACAAGATAGATAATTCATGTTAGGAGCTGCAGCATGCGCAAGAGAAAATAAATGGGCTACAAACAATGAAAATAGAGCTGCATGATCTCACTTTAACAGCAAAGATACATGTATGTAAACACTACACAATTATTGGGCAGTGGCTGAATACCCCCACCTCTGACTGAACCCCCCCCCCCCCCACCTCTGGCTACGCCACTGACTGGAATGGAATGTAAGATCATGAAAGGTTGCATCTTAAAGTTCCAAACACTTAATGATCAGTCAACAAAAGTTCAATCAAAAACTGGCAGGCAAAACTAATATGGGACTACACATATCGTCGGTGGGGTGACAAAACCTTGTATCTCAAAAATCATGAATTTTCAGGAGAGCGAAAAACATTTCCTGTTTCAACAGATTTAGTGCTGTAACACCCTCCTTTTTGTGGAATTTGTGAAAAAAACCGAGACAGGAGGCGTTCCATGGATTTATCAGGTGGTGTCGTAGGCCATTAGGTACACAATTATGCAAAAAAATCAAAATCTAAAAAAATTGAGATACGAGGTTTTGTCACCCCACCGACGATATGCTGTTAAATTCTACAGCAACTAAACATCAACATACAAGAATATGTGATCCATGAAGCCATTTATACTTTAGGATCAATATGACCATTGTTGGAATTAGAAAAAAAAAAAAAAAAAAAAAAAAAAAGTTTTTTCCTTAAAGGTAAAGACCAGTTATGGTCATGCGATTGCATTGTGAAAGAAACGTGGAATCGATCAGAAAAGGTTGATCATCTAGCATCTAGCATTTGCAAGGTTGTGGAATCATCAAAATGATAAGAAATTTGGCCCATTCTTCGTAAAGTTACAAGCACTTTACACAGAAAGATGTATTTGGGACTACCCTATATCTCTCACAGACCATGAGAGAAACAAATTTACCAAATATATGAATTAGTAGGCAGTTTCCTGGCAAATTTTTTATCATCATGTATTAGTCAAAACATATTCTTTCACATGATTGGTAATGAGAGCTTCCATTTCATTTTTTGAAATTGGGGCATTTCCAATACTGGTCTTTACCTTTAAATCTTCTGTCATTAACTTTGCTGATTACTTTGTTTACAAAGTCAGTCAAGGTCGATCAAAACAGTCCTGTTGATAATGAATTGCACAGATTTAATTGTTCAGTCACATGACTATTTAGTCATCCATTCATACAGAACAATGGTCATGAGTTCGTGAGAAATCACTCAATCCAAACATGGAATGCTTAACCCTCAATCAAGGTTAATGAAGACAGCCGATGGTTAGACAATAAGTCAACAAACTTTCATTCATACCATGCCGTGATGTGAGCTTATATAGCTATATTGAGAAGATTTGAAGAAAGAAAACAAAATCTATGATCTTAAAAAAAAAACGACCATATAATTAATATTTGTATAGAACACTTTTAATTTAGACCTTTCAAGGAATGCACACAGAATATTAGAAGCCTAGGGCAGAGCATACACACATGTACATGTACAGGTACTCTAATTAAAATCAGAATATTTGTATGGAAGTATGGAACTTTGCTGATTTGGTCAGAAAATTTCATGCTGCAAAATAATTGAATTACAGTATACATGTATGCAACTGACAAACCATGGAATTTCCATGACTTGCTGAGCTTTCTTGTTGCAAATTAACATTAACGCTTTGTGTTACTTTTTTTTTAAACAGTTTCAAAATAGAAAACCATACAAAAACAAATATTTACCATAGTTATGCCTGGCAACAATGGGTAGAGTGCAAGAATAAGTCCATGCCACACGTAGTGAAGAAGGCTTGCTAAGAAAGTGACTACTAATGCGACAACTATCACACAACCAACGGGTAAGTACTCTATCCAAGACATTGGTACACAAAAGAAACTTTAACCCAGTCACAGTTAAATGGTGATGACTTGTCCAAGTGTTTCATTCACAATCTAATCCCTGGTAGTGAGAGGGTTTCACCAGGATGAAGTTTGAATAATCATCTCTTAATCAATCCTTAGTAAGTCATCAAGTATTTTGATTAGTCACAGATGAAGAGTCACTTTGAAGATAATGCTTGCCAATCAAACATGTTCATCAAGAAGAAGCCTTGTGAATCTTCAAG